TTGGTTGTACAAATGCAACAGGTTGTATTTGAAACAAACTCTATATGTATATGTATAGAGGACGTTTCAAATGCAACCATCACATTTGTACAACCAATGCAACCCAATCAATTAAGATATTTATGAAAATTATGAGAGTTCATTTATTATAATTTGAACATCTGTAGAAGATGATTAGGGTTCATTAGTTATAATTAATACTTTATATTATGAAACAATCTAAATTTTTATGAAATCACATATTTATCAAATTAAATGGACGGTTGAGATTGAGTTGTACAAATGTAAAGTGTTGCATATATAATAACCCACCTCTATATGTATAAATATGTATGTGTGTGTATATATATATATGTATGTATGTATGTATGCATGTATGTATGTATGTGTGTATATATATGTATATATAGGGTTGAGTTCATCTGAGATAAAGTTGTTTTCATGAAACACGAATTTTACATTTGAAACTTCACAACAAAATATTGTAAACGTAAAAAAAAAAAAGCAGAATTTCACAGTAAAAACATTGTGAAGGTTACCTTCACAATGTTTTGCTGTAAAGATTCAAATGTAAAATCATGTCTCACAAAAACAAACTTGTTTCACATGATCTCATGTTTATATATATAAAAAAATTTCTCTTAATATTATTTTGGATTATTTTTCATTCGTGTCGGTTAAATGCATGAATCTAGTTTATTTTCTATATTTAATAAAAAGATCTTGATTTGATTTGTCACATGCTAACCTATAAGATAGGATTTTCAAATTAAAAAGGTTAAGAAAATCTAATGAATTTTCTTATTTTAAATAATCAAGGTTTTAATAAAATATTTATAGAGTAATTAATTAAAGTTTTTACATTTTGAATGATTAAGGGGTCGTTTACCAAACGCTTACCAAGTCACAATATCTTACCGGATGAATATGGTAAATACCAAGAATCTTACTCGGTAAGAGCGAGACAAGAACCAAAAGTCTTACCCGGTAAGTGAGGACAACGACTCTTACCACGGTAAGTGCTAATTACCAAATAAATTGTTACATACGATGTCGTTTTGGTGGACTAAAATCTTACCCGATAAATAAATAATAGTGTTAAATTTTACCAATAAGAATTTATCGGTAAGTATTTGATAAATAGCCTCTAACTTATTAAGTAACAGTATTAATTCACAAACTAATAGTTAGTTATCAGCTAGTTCCCAAAACTTAATCATAGTAACTTTGAGCTAACATATCATTATCGAACATTAGACGGGGACCAATTACATAGCCAAAAGCAAGTTGAAAGCTATGTATATATCTTTTAAACCTATAAATCGTAGAAAAATGTCAATGATATCGTTATCAGAAAGAATATACGTCCAAAATACAGTATAAATAACTTGTACTTTATGTATTAACAGTTGTACGATACTGATCGAATTCCAAAAAGGAAGTCAAAAGATTAACAGCTCATAATATTGGAATAAAGATGTACCCAAAAAACCGTGGTTTGAAATATTCAAAAACCAGATATTATCAAAAGCTTTACTTTTTATTTTTTGATAATTTTATATGATAAAGGAAATAGTAATTGAAAGGAAAATAAATAAATAATCCATGAAAAATAAAATATAAAAATGAAAAATATAAAGTCTTCAAACATATGATTTAATGGATTAAATTCTTGTTAGCAAGTCTCAATCTTGATGGTGGTGTCAACTTTCTTTTAATTATCAAATTAATGTGATTTTATTAATTTGCTTGTTTTTGTATTTAATTTTGTAGCAATAAAATATCAAATCTGTGATTAAATGTATACTATTACGAGAAAGTTTCAACCATTTAAATAGATCCTACTTGCGAGTTTGTGTTTTCACTTTCATGGCATATTAATAGTTCCATGACGGTTTATATATACATAATATATATAGGTTCAGGTTCAAAAGGAAACTATACAAAATAAAAAAACTCGAAAACATTCTAATAACTATTCATCTGGACTATATGTATATATGTATACAAGTAATTTGTCCGCTATATACACATATGTATACAAGTAGTTGAAAATATTTTCTGGTTTTTGTGCATGTATGTGTATGCACATGTACACATACTAGACAAAATATTTGTAT